TTAGATGTGTTTGAGGCAATATATTCTTACATGAGTAGAACGATCTTAAGTCTAATCGGAATTTTCCCTTGAGATTTCGCCCTATAAGTCAAATGAACCGATGCTGAAAAGCCCTCAATGTTTCGAACAGATCGCCAAATTTCTTTTTGGTGGCGGGCATTGCTGTTGCTGTTTATGGTCGTTTACCGCAACAGAACACTCGATGGGGCCTTTGGCCTGATCAGCGAACGTGGCTTCCCAATTCTAATAGCTATTCTCAAATCACATTGTTTCACCGTGAATTACGTACAATCACGTTACCGACACGTTAGTTGCGATGTCATTGCCGAATGAAGCCAGATCGACCACTTTGTTTCACTACACATGAACAACACTCGACCATCGGTCACAAGACATTTGACGGTTTGGTGGACGGTAGTTCTGTCGACCATGTCTATTCAGGATGGAATTCCTTGGGTTAGGTTGCGAGTCTCGCGGTGTGGTGGGATGGAGTTTGAAAGGCAATTGGGGTATTAGGTGCACGGAAGTGAAATTCGAATTACATCTTATAGGCCGATGTTCCGGTTGCGACCAGTGGTCGTCATTTGTCATCATATAGTTGGAGTTCGCATGTGGTGTGCACCTAGGAACTGAAAAAGTTCAAGCCTCCAAGAGGACAAACAAGTGACAGCGACGTCAGACGTAATAAAAGTGGAGGTCGCACTTCGCATGGTGAATGTTACATGCTTCCCGTATCTACGACCGTATCCTACGGACGACAAGACCCTGATGGATTCAGAAAGCGATCGCTCGACTGTATACGTGCCGAGATTCCTGAGTGAGCCTTGTCAAGTTCACCGACAGGAGTATACCAGGTCTGGAGCGGATGACACACAGAATCCCTATTTGAGCCCGGTACAAAGGAGCGATTATGATGCTGGATTTTCCGGACCACCAATCCTCAGATTGCACCCAGGCTGACCACACCGCACAGGTCCGTGCCCTTCTCTACCCGTTGTCTGTTTCGGTGTTCACTGCTGATTTTCGCGGGCAGTTCGATTGGATGAGAACATTCCCACACCATTCTAGGTGGCTTCCTCAGTTCACCGGACACTTCCATTTTCCAACCCTAGTTTTGTATCATGTCCGAACTGTCATTCACATTGTGTCGCGTGTACCGTGTAGATGAACTGGTGCGTTGCATAGTTTTGTTTTGTATATCTATTTCTTGAACAAGTTCATGCATTGATCAACATTTCAACTTGTTTTGGATTCGTGTTAACCCGGAGGGATCGATAGTTATTCCTGACAGATTCTACTCTAGTGTCTACCAGGTGGAAAATTCGTGTTGTGTGCAAGATACCCCATGTCAATTAGCGAATACTGTCCGTTGATATGTATATTTCCGGGCGCACCGATCGCGATGCAGGCACACGTTTCCGAAACCGCGTTGATTACCTTTTACAGGTATCGCGCTGATTGAACGTTTCTAGCGGGAATATGTCTAGGAACAAACATGGGTAACTAACTTTTATCCCAAAACCCTTGTTTGTGCTGTGTCTATATGACAGCACCGTTTTCGACTGGTTTCAAGTTTGTCTCTTCGGTATGTAGACGCTGTCGACAGATTCTGTGGTGGGTTGTAGGACGCTCGTAGCACAGTTCGAATAACAAGTCTTTCTGGAATCGCGCGACAAATCGCCACAGATTTCTAATGCTTCGCTCGTGCTTTACTTCGGTGTGCTTATAATGTGAGCGCTTTCCATGACATGACAATCGATGTGGTCTCTGACCTCCATGATGACATGAAATGTCCAGTACCAGTGTCCAATACCATTTACTCGTCTTCGTGGGGTTATCTGGGCTGAGTTAACAATGTAGTACAGCGTAGGTGCAGTGTAGGCGCTTTAAGTGACCAGTCGCCAGTACCATGTGAATAGCAATAGCATATTTGGATTGGGACTTGAGTGAGATTTCATATTTGGTATAGATTTGCCCAATCCGATAAACCCGTGTCAGATTCAGATGTGCTCATCAGTCAGTTGCCGAGTGAAGCTTATTCCAGGTAACACGTGGAGGTTTCATCCGTCCATCTTTGGAATAATAGGCGCAAGGACATAAAACACAGAATACACTGGTCATGTCCACATAATTTCGGTGACCAGAGCAAGCTATAGTAACAATCATCTGCGTGGTTGATGTTTCATACTAAGAAATTCACCACAGATTGTTCATCAAAACTTTCATCAAAACTGACACACCGCCTCCCCCCTCCGCCACTGCTCTCATGGAGATATGGTCCGATGGGCGAGGTGGCCAGATGACCTCCGGTCAATTCCAGAGTTCACCGAGGTCAAGTGAGTAATCCACATTGAATCGAATGTCATGAGACTGAGTGGTGACGATCCGATTTCGGCGATCGTGTCAGCAACTGGCACTGACTGACTGGCGACTCGTCGGTAGGCCGACTAGCATGACATTCCAGTCGCTGAATAGATGCATACGATCTGGTCACATTGAGGGCTAAGTCCGTGACTGCTACGGTCACTCAGAGCGTTCTTTATGAAAATGAGGCTTGCAAACGCATCCCACCCAGCTGGTACATTCTTTCCGTCAGGGTAAATAAATTAAATAGCCACCTATTGAAAATTTCACCACATGCAATGCACACAGCGATTGGTATTCGTTGAGGTCCTGCAGCCCGGTGACTCTTAAGGCAGGAAACAATGTTCGTCTTTCTGAGGCCTTCGGGATTCCAACTTGACTCTTACGAACGAGGTTGATCAGTCAGTGCGTTCACTCAGTTTCGCAACTCAAAAAGGGGGTGCGGAAATACAGTGGTGCTAGCTACGACAACTTCGTTCACTGATGTCATGACTAAAATAGAAGGGCCACGCTTTACAAGAAATAGCCCATTCCGACAAATACACTAGTTCGCAAACCAACTTGTTTTTCACGAGGGAATCAAGCGAATCTCTCGTTTATGATGTGTATCTTTCGAAATCAATCCAGTTTGGGTTCAAGTAGAACATGAGGTTGACGGAAACTTGGGGACTGCGCCTACCTAATGAGCTCCAAGAAGGGCGAAACCGGTCGTGGGCTGTCCAAGATTTTTCAACACCCTCGTGAGTAGTTTCCTCTGTGAAAACAATAGCTCATTCATTTCATTGACATTGAATGATTCTGTTTGTCGAGGGTAGCAGGGAAATAGAGCAACTCAGTGAAGACGATAGCTATGGTGCAAGGATTTCACTGGCCGCGCGATACAGTCACTGACCATTGGTTTGATTCATCCGACGGACCGTATACGGACCGCAGCACGACTGAGTTGCCAAGTTGTGGACTGATCACCTCTTGATAGTCTCTATCTGATAAAATTTGGGTGGGGAGGATTGAACAAGTACGTGAAGTGCGAGAAGTACGTGACCTAACCAGCATAACCTTGTAGTGTAACCTGCTAAGCTCAAATGAGAGAGAATTTTCACGAAAATCAGTTGGTGTACTCTGGTATTATTGACCCGTGTTCCCACCCGAATCAATCATTGCTTCAGTGACACCGATGGTCGGGCACAGATAGATTCTGCAGATCTTTAGCACGCTGCGACAACGCCTCCGACCGCGGCAGGGTGCACCAAAGCCGTAGCAGTCGACCAGATGTCACGTCGGTGTCACACATATCCAAAGTTTGCAAACAGTGTCCTGGCCTTCCGAATTCCGGAAGTGAGTTCATCTTTTGCCAGTCAGCGTGATAGAAGAACTCATCCATCACCTCGATCGATTCACTTGCAAGCGGATGTGCAGTTTGATCCCACCCAATCCCACAGTAGCACTTTGCACTTGACAGATAAGAAGGACATATCGAATTATGCGGCAGAATTATTTAGATTATTTGGCACAGTTTTCATTTCTAAAGGTTCTGGTCGGGGTACAGCAGCGTCATCTGGATACGCAGTGTCCATGAGCGAAATCCTCGGGAGTAATCCAGTTCCTAGGGTGCTAGAGACAGGTAGAGGGAGCTCAATCATCCCAGTGATAATGAAGTTTAAAGAGAGAGAACAATAGAATCACCCTTGCCTGACACCACTGGAATTGGCATTCATGGGAGGGTACACGTAAAGCCTTTATAAGAGACAAGAATTTAGAAGAGATGCCAATCCCCGTCAGACACTTCCATGGTTTCTGACGATCAGCTGTTTCTAAAGCTGTTCCTGATCGAACTAAGGGGGACGTCACACGCAAAAAAATTCGAGGTCACATTTTTTGAACTTGTTTTGTTAACTCGGTTGACCAGTTTAGTTGGGATGAAGCTAATCTGATTTTGGGTTTTCAATACACAAAACTGCACCTAAAGCATCCTTGAAGCGAACATGTGGGCCTATGAAAATGACTGACTAGGATGCAGTGAAATGATCTGGAATCTTGTGCCGTCTATGTCCATCATCCAGCAATGGATCTCATCCTAGGCTAGATTGATAAGAACTGTCATGGTATGCCCGTTACTGGGAGTTAATGACCAGCCACGTTTGAGTTTCGGGAGAAGATGCAACTGCGGTGAATTAATGAGATCACCTCGAGTCAGGTGTCACTTTGCCGAAGCCATACTTTGGAGGACTAAAGAGACTCTTAGCGAATATACACTCATTTGCAAAGTAATTTGGTTTTTTAAAGATTAGTTTGCAGATAAGTGTATATTCGCTAATTTCGTGCAATTTGGTTTCAACTAGAACATAAGGCTGACGCAAACCCGGGGACTGCGCCTACCTGATGAGCCCCAAAAAGGGCGAAACCGGTCGTGAGCTGTCGACGGATTTTCAGCAACCTTATGAGTAGTACGTTACAAGGATATGAAGAGGTTCGCGTTTATCGCGGTTTCCAGGGTTTGCGAGGGCCAATCGAAGGAACTCAGGAGGTTCAGTATTTCGTACGAAACATGCCTCCTAAGTTACTATATTTAAACTTAAGTAGTTCATTTCAAATTCGAACCATAAGGGCAAATAAAAACATCGTATCACAAATCAGTTCAAAACAGCATTTACTTCATAGCAGAGAAGATTCGAAACACAAAACAAGTGAACGAATGCTTAGCAATTCATCCCGCAAAATCAAAATGAATCATCCATGCTTTCTGACTGCGTATTTTTCTGGTCAAAATAGTCATGGCACGAACAAGAATTCAACTAAAGTGATACTGAAAAAAAGTGGGAAGAAACGGAAAGAGAACGACGATGAGGACAACGAAAGTAGAAGTACAGCCATGTTTTTAAATTGTGGCGCAGCTTGTTTGGAAAACAGTCTTCCATAGCTTTCTTTGGAGTAGCCTAGGTTTGACCCGGTATTGACAGAATGACTTGTCACAATTGGTTCAAAATCGAGGTAGTGTGGGATGAGTGGACCTTAGCAAACTGGAAGAATTGTTCAGTAGAAGGGGACAGGCAAAAGCTGTGTTTAGATTTTGGCTCAAGTTGCCAAGATTGGGCGAACCAGATCCAGGAGGCCAAAGAGCGCCGAAAGATTCCGACGAAGGAAGCCCAGATTGCAAGATGGCCGGCTGAGTTGTCTGTGTCCCCGCCAGTAGGGCGGATAGCGTCTGGCTGTCGTTGATGAGTGGTGAAGTTAGATTGAAGGAATAGGTAGCGCCAGGATATGAGCCCCCGGAAACGGAATTCAATCGCATTCCAAGAGATGTTATCACAGAAGGCATCGAAAGGCTAACACCAACTTGGGGATTATAAGTTTGGTCAGCCGTAGCACCGAAGCCGGTCTTAGTTGGTGGGGCCGGAACGGCGGTAGTTAGGGAATCTGTGTGCCTTCATGAAACAACAAAAACGATTAGCTTAGTTAGCGTACATTCCAGAAAAATTTACTTTATAAGCGCCCAGTATCTCCCATAAAGTTAGCTAAGCTAAGAGGACACGAGTGTATAATGTATTACATAAAAATTTATCAACCATGAGGGGCAGACAGTAACACAGGCATTGAAGTATTTTTTTCCTTCAAAGTTTATTTCCGATTGGCAAGCTGGTAGAGTTGAACAGCCATACTAATTCGCCAGAAAACATGATAAAGCAACAAAAGTCACAGCACAATCAACAAAACAGTCACTGAGCTGGTAGCGGTAAGTTGTTGAATCTCATTAGAGGATATGTAAAGCATGCTAGTGATATTTTCGTTGTTCAGTGTGTAGACAGTCCTGCTGACTTACAACTCTGGGCTGGATGCGTCACTGGACAACTAACCAATAGTGTTATGCAGGCAATTTGATATACTGTGTGTTGCAAACTAATTTATCAAGCAGTCATGTATAACACGAAAAATTCACTGAGATTGTATCTCTGGAGGACGACCTCTCACAGGGTAAGCCCAACTCAGATTACACTCTGCGTGCGAGACCCCGAGAGTAGCTTTTCCAAGCTTGTCCTTGGTACCGACGCTTCCCAAAGTTTACTCGACCGAATGACATAACCACCTCATCTGTGATGGTGTATGATTTGTGAGACGTGATCAAATGCGTGCGATGGGCTGGGGACAACCAGGGGAAGCAATTGGTCTGCAGTCAAGCAACGAGGACAATACAAGGGATCTGTTGTGTTCAGGAAGCTATTCGTACCACGACCTTCCTCCTCATAGTAAGACGGGAACAGTGAATAGTAAAACTATTTATTTAACTATGAGTGTACCGTTAGGCTCTCAAAATAAACATTGGTTCCTTGAATGTGTCTGCTAGTAAATACTCATTGAAGACTTGTGCGCCTTTCATGGTGTCGGCGCACAGGGCCGAGAAGGCCAAATACACACAGAATGCACGAAAATACGTGTTTAGAGGTAGGTAGTATCAGTAGACTTTTTGCTTTTCTGGCAAGTGCTATGCCGTCTGAGCTGCCGAGGGCACTACCAAACGTTGGATGAACGCAGGTGAACTTCATACACGACTCACTACCTACCATCAAGGTTGACTGATGATGGAGAAAACCTTGTGAAGGAGTAGTCATACCTAATGACCATAATTCTGAACAACTGTTTTCCAGAACATTTCGGTGGATTCTTCTAATGCCAATTCAAGCCAATCGATCAACCCATAGGTGTCTCAGAAGAAAAATAACTTCGCATGCTGCGTGAAACTTCCATTTAAGAAGTCACTACTCTAGGAGCTAGTCAATACATAACCATGTGATCTGGTTTCCATAACTGAAGGATTAGCGGTTTTATGCCTTTCCAGAACGGCTTTGTAAACAATCGCTAGTTTCTGTATCCTGGCTAAATGAGAGCTAATAACATGCTGTTCGACCGGTCGAGACCGAAGGGTTGAGTGTTCAAGCACTAGCAGGAAAGTGGCGGATTCGAAGATGAGTTTTGTGGGGCGTTGTAGGCTGACTATTCTCAGTAAGGGTAAAGCAGCTCTAAATTGCTTCTCGACTTTTCAACACATATTGACCTCAGTGGCAGGATGAAATCTCGACTGACTACAGAAAAATGTCCTATTCTTAGAAGTGTAGCTTTCTTGAGGATACTATCCTGACGGGTGGACTCAACTTCTGAATTGTACATCGAACGAAAATTTCAACAACATGCTCCAGAGACATTCGCACCAACTATCATCGAAAGTGGGAAAACTCACTGTGTTGTCATCAAGTCCGAACAGTAAGTTACTCCAGTGGATGTTGCATCGTCACCGGCTCCTGAGGGCTTTACCGGACCCGGGCCAGTAGACGTTGGATAGCCATCTGAAGCGGCTGTAGAAGTTTGGGGTCGATATAACGCTGCAAGATTTAGATTGTTGTCACATCCAATAGGTTTCATGGCATCTCTCAGCATAGTTGTCGGTTGTTTTTGTTGTTGTTGCTGTTGGCACAACTGCAAAAGAGAACTTGTGACCCCACTCTGACTGCCAAGGGCTGAAAGCCAAAGCCTGGAATCAAAGCCAGACAGATCGTTTCCCTGCATCCCAGTGCTGGGACTGTTAAGCGCGGAACCGGCCAAACCGCTAACGAATGGCATGCTGAGGTTGGAAGACAGACTTGGTCTCATGGCCGTTAGGAGAGGATTTGTCTGGAAATAAGAAGGGACCTTTTATGAACCTTTTACGGAGCACTTATTCTTCGAACTATAATACACAGACGATAGTTGGGAATGATAGCCGCAGTATGGAAACAGCACAAAGACGGAGCACAAAGAGCCTTTCATTTTAGGGCGTGGAAAACGACACTAGTGTGGGTCCCAATAATTGTAGGTGATTATTCTGTTACGCCTCCCACTAAACTAACACTGAATGCTAGGCATGCGTGATTCTTTGAATACTAAGTCTATGGTTCAATCTCTAAAGTATTTGGTCTGACGTCGCCTATTTTGCTTCCAAATATTCATGCTAGAGTCTTTGGATTGCTGATTGAATTTCACTGCAGAAGATGCCTTTGATTCTGCTCAATTCAACAACTTTAGTCGTTGATGTAAAGAAAACCTTTGCAAAATGTGATGGTTTATTCTTTGCATTAGTTCCTCAGAAGAGTTAGAACTCCCCTCGGAGTTTCTTTGGCCAAATGGAAACTAACCATTGTGAAGCTTCAAGCAAAATGTGTGCACAAATCCATCCAAGAGATCCATGTGCAGTAAGGATACTCTCTTCACGACTAATCCCAGTTCTGCCTACTTTCACACCTTAAATTGTAAATTGCTGCCTGAAAACTACTGGGGATCAAAAGAAAGCCTGGTTTTTGCGGACAAACCAATCTATGTAGCTGGCCGGTCGATTTGACTGATTCCCTTGCGTCACTGCGGCCAAGCTCGTTTGCCTAGGGCAAAACGGTGCGATCTCTGAGGTTTTGGAAAAACTGGTTAGTGTGAGCAGAAATGCTAAAAACATCATTCTTGTTAGTCTCTGTCACCTCCGAGTCTGGCTTCTGGTGAGCACGTCGAGTTCGTAGTGCTGGATTTCATCAAGTGCGTGTCAGATGAACTGGTGACGCCTCGCAGATGCCACGGAAATATACACCTTACAGTGCCCGTTCATCTCTCTCATACGCAGTTAGGTTATGAACTGGGAGAGACTGGGATATAGGCTGGCAGAAAATCATTCAAAATTCATATAGTCTGTAGTTGAGTTTTAGAACCGAGCTACCATGTTGGTTGGTGACACTGGCAGACTTAACCCAGTGGGATACAAATGGCTCCTGCTTCCCAGCAGCTGCTCGCAACATAGGGATGAACAACTCCTCCTACCCCTGACAGACCTACATGTTTTCCTAATTCGATCTACAAATCAATGTATTGAGGTCTGCTGCCTCCAGCGTACGGTACTGTCCTTACAATAGGATAATCAAGAGTGAGCTAACCACTGTACGACGTGTATGTGGTTTATCGTCCCTGGGCGAGATGGCCCAATTGGTTAGAGCGCGAATTTACTGATCGGTAGGTCCGTGGTACGAACCCGACCTGTGCCACATGACGTCCCCTGTCTAGGCTTGGGCGGCCTGGCATTATCCCAGCCCTTACGCCTCCGTCGTGTGGCATGGCACCTAGGCACCGAAAGGGTGCTACAGCTGAACGTCTACTCATCCGAAGGGAAGGAATGACAAGAATAGGCTAAACATTTCGTTTCTTTATGTGGGTTAGACCTTAGTAGAAATGCCATATGGACCTTATGAATGGCTGATCATTTAAAACTCACCGCGTTTGGGACAGACGGTAGAGCTGCATTCGTCCCTGTAAGCGAAGAATTTAGCAAGTTGCAAGATTTGATTTGCGGGCTAAGTAGAGATTCGGTTCCCAGTACGTTGGGCTGCAGTGTTGCTGTGTTGAAAAAGTTCATTCCGGGGGCTGTATTCGTTGGAAGACTATTCGTTTGTCCCGTGGAAGCCGACAGAAACGGGTCGACGATATAGGGTCTGGAACAAACATGCCACACTCCATTGGGATTGTGTTCTTGGATTGAATAAACTAGATCATATCATCGAGGTAGGCTATGTATAGGGATTGTCTATTATATAAAAAGATTATGGGCATAGAAAACACATGCAATCCACCATGAGAATTAAAAAAACTGCTCCATGATTTTCAAATGAATGACCTGATAGCAAAGTGTCCATTATGAAGTAGTGTGGCTCAGAATTCATGATAACAGCTCCCACGACAGAATTTTTCTCGAAAATTTACTGGTTTAGGCTTTCCGAATCACATCCTGGTAATTTTGGATCTATTTGGACATGTCTCGTTAGTTTGTTAGCTGAATGAGTGCCGCAGTATTTGCCACCGATAAGAATGTCCATATGATCGGCTGTATATAATGCACTTATTCTGTCGCCCTGTTTGACAACACTTGATTGCAAATGACTGGTTATGACCGAATGTTCCAATCAGGTTGTTTGATGTACCTGATCATTGGTTTCGTAGACAAGAGTTGTAACGATTCCCCACTCCGATTAGACGAATTCTGCAAGAAAAAGGCTAGCACGCCTTTGTTTTAAATTTCGATTTCCAGTGGAACTCGTGGGGCGACTAGCCGTAGAAATAACATAGATAGGGGAAGGATGGCTTTGATTCCCGCCTGAGGTTCGCAATATCCATTCTGGTAACAACTAGTCTATGCAATCAAATATAGCGCTGGCTTACACGTTGATGTGAACCACAGACCAAATCATTTGTTCAGAATATTATTGCAGGGTTGAACGTTCCATTTCGTGCACAGGTATAAATAATGCACTTACGATCCAGCCAATGGATGACGCAGAAGCTGGTTACTGGTGTTGGCCACAGGCATCTGATTCAAAGTTTCCAACATTGCCGCTGCTAACAGTGCCTGTGTTTGCTGGTTGGACGAGGAATTCAACGCAAGTCGTTGTTCTTGTTGTGTAGGAGACACCAAATAAGGAGTATGGTTTTGGGATTGATTTGATATGGGAAAGAAATTACCCAAAGTTGCAGCTGAGTTGTTTGCCCTAACCAGTAAAGAAGGAAGTGGACTGGGGAGGGCTGCTGCACCAAGAGAACTGGCGAGGAAGCGGTTGTTGGACATGGCTACCGCGGCAGCGGCGGCAGCTACTGCAGCAGTTGCTGTAGCCGGTCCTGGCCCTTTCAACCTTGCTGCAGCCTGAGTCATCAGGTGTTGATAGACTGGGTTCGAAATGTTGGAAGAAGTGTTTGGAAATGCGGAACCTATTGGGAAGAAACGGTCAAAAAGCTAGTCATCTCAGAATGTAAAGCCACAAGTTACGGGAATAAAATGAGTCATGCTGATCAACTATGATGGCTAATTTTGGTATCGCGACATGTATGTTTGCAAAAAAGAAAAAGCAAACCTATTGTGTTTGGTGAAAATGCCCGACCTCATTGGCTTCAGGTAGGAATAGAAGCATTTGTCAATTTGTCGAAATATAGGTAGTTTGGGTGTGTTTACTGGTGGTTGATCAGATGGCAGTTGAGCTATTCGCCGAGCTTGACAATTGGCTTGCAAACGTTTCGTCCCCAGTGGAGGAGACATCGTCAGTGCACATTCACCTGCGCATTAATAGAAGCATTTATTTCAAGATAAGTGTATGTTTCGGCTTAGATGCATCTACAAGGATGTGTAAAAGCCTGTACCTGCAAGAGTTCTAGTTTGTAGTGATATGACTGCATGTCCACGCCGACTATAGGCAATAAACAAACATGTAAGCAGAACTTTCCGATTGAGGGTAATGGTGCGCAACCGTACATTAAGACACTCCTGGAGCTTAAGTATGTTCTACTGGACCCGATTTTAACAGGGACACAATCAAATGAACCTGGTCGAAAAAAGAACACTGATAGCATCTAGTAGTTTAAATCAGCCCAGACCCAGCCACGTTTTTCATGCTAAAATTACCGGTAGATACATGGAAACCTAATCGCGTTGTGTCTGAAAAAAACCACAGGCATGAAACACGACATCAGGCCGATAACGGTGAGATTCCAGGTCTTCTTCTAAAGGTAGTTTAGGTGCATCTGACTGGCACTTAGTATATAAAAGGAACACAGTACTACGCTTCATATCGAACGACATATCTCTACCGGTGAATTTCACCGATGTAGGCGCGCATGAACATTTATGAACAACTGTCCTCAAAAAATTCTGAGAATAGAGTTATATCTTGCATGTGCCGAATGAAACGTGCATAAATGTAGGCAAGTCTTTTCAGTTATTCGTTGAATACGAAGCATCCTTCCCCTCCAAAGGGACAGTTTGAAGAATAAGCCTTATTTTGGACTCATTCTTGCAATTCATAAACGCAAATGGATGCACGAACTGTGCATTCACAAGGAAAGAAGTGTGAAAGTAGAACATAAGGTTGACGGAAACTCTTGGACTGCGCCTACCTGATGAGCCCTAATAAGGATGAAACCAGTGGTGGGCTGTCGAAGAGTTTTCAGCAACCTTGTGAGCAGTCTTCTTTATAAAAGAATGAAAGTACTTTAGTGAAGTGAGTTGGATGCTTCAGCACGGGCATTTATTACACGGGAATAAATTGGCCTTTAAATCAGCTACCTTGCTCATATCAATAGCTGGTTTCGTGGATCAACCTCTATTGCTCTTTCACCTGTTGCGTTATTTCACACTTACCTTTCAAAGCATTCTGGCCATCAGATCGTTTCTTCGTTAACACTCGCGTCGTAGCATGGTTTACCTAGCAAGTGTAAGTAACATGCCCGAAGCGTAAAAACAGGTGATAAAAAGGGCAGAGAAAAGTATGGATTGGGGCATAAATAGACAAACCGGATATAATGATGAGATCACGAAGAAAAACGAAACTGACAATGTGATTACGCATGCTTGCTAAGCGAATCTTTTTTTGAGTGACTATAAAAAATTAAAACAATACTGGGACGGACTGACGGATGCAATCTAACTAAAGCAATCAGTGCAAGTAAGTCGTGAAACGAAAGCAGGAGACTCTTAAACCGGAAGCAGTTGTGCATTATAGTATAGCCATGGCAGAGGAGACCTGACAGACAAATTCGATTGTAACACGATATAATCAAGCAACCAGACATACACAAATAAGTATTCGTACAAATGACGATCTAATCGTGTCCGCGTGAAAAAAAAACGATTTTAACGAGTCTCTTGTGTAGCAGTTCATACCTCCAGAAGTGAACTCAGGATATACTTGGAATGTTACCATACTGAGTAGAAAAGAAATTACCATTTCGGAATCCATTCACAAAAATCCAGTAGTACTCGCTACTGACTGAACACATTTGATTGTTTCATTCCTGGGGTATCCTATAGCCTCTTTCTGTGGTTTAAAGTTACGTCTGACTCTGGATTCCTTATGTACGTATGGCGGTAAGAAGAATTCTTTGATTCCACTCTAAAAGGTCCAGCGTGACCCGACCGATCTGTCTAATTTGGGTTTCTTCGACACCTAGAGCTGAGTTTTTTTACAGGTCACGGACAACTCCTTACTCTGAATTAACTACCTCTCAATTGCCACGTAGTTTTTCAGTCCAATAATTCTTCTATTTCCGAGGAATTAAATGTATCTGGGCTTGGTGCTGGCTTCAATAGCTTTTGGTTTCATTTGTACACACTCTTGAATAGCAGTTTCTTCCCGAGGATAGACAGCCAATTGGACCAGACTGTATAACTACTTACAGACTAATAAACTGTCGAAATAACTAGCTGGTTGAAACAAACCGCAAACTCTAAACGTGGTGCGTCATTGGTCTCATCGTGCACGTCAATCTAATTGGCTGGGAATCGCAAGAGATTCTGTAGTCTGTACATTTGTAATGCACCACTCATAAGGTTGCTGAAAACTCGCCCGGAAACATCACAAAAGGGAGATTCAGCTGAGTTCCAGGTGAGCCTCTTGAGAAACCAAATTAGTTTGCAAATGAGTGTATTTCGCTAATCCTCTGTAGTTTGGTTTTCAGTTACCCAGCCTGGCTCGTGTGTTTTGTCCATCATTGTGTAGAGTTTAATCCCTCCCGTTTCCCTCTCAACTCAATAGTTGCTTTTTTTGTTGTGTCTATCTCTATCCCGGGTACAACAGCTGTCTGAAAATTCGCCTATTTTAAACTAAGACCTAATTTGGGTCGAAATTTATTGTGGGAGACAATCCGGAAACTTATGAATTGTCACTTGCAATCCCCATCAGTCTCGACCGAAATAGAATTTCGAAAGGCAACTGAGCACTAGACAAAATGGAAGTTAGACTTTGCGTACTGAAAAACATTAAAGAAATAAGATTTGTATGAGTTCAAGTTAGATCTTGACTCCGAAGAGGAGAGGCTGCTCCAGGAGAGGGGGATTTCGCACATTTTGATGGTGGTCAGATCAGTAACAAGTAACTAAATGGACCCTCATCAGAGGTCAAATCAGTCAGTATCCTAGGTGAACCCCGTACCAGTCTAAGAAAAATGCGAGACGACTGACATGCAAATGAATTCTGCTACTTCGAATTAGATTGCGATTGGGAGTTGGGGTGTATTCGTTGCGTGGCTAGTGGACTGCGATAGTGCCAGTGGGTTGATGCAATTGAGAGCTGCGGCCTGGGGGTGTGGGTGACTCCACATAACCCTGTTTCGTATTCAGCTACCCTGCGTGTTTGAGCACGTGGTCAGGCCTATTTAGATGGGCGCAAGATTAGCCTAGCTGCTGCTGTTGACACAGTTTAGATGTACATTCACTTCTGAGACCTCGGTACACAAATACCCCGGTTTGCGAAGTTTGAAGGAACTGCCCCTAACCTCCACCCCAGCGCATAATGCAGACATCCAGAGACGTCAGCAGCCGAACACAATTGTCATTCTTGATCTCCATCTCAAAACCCTACAGAAACGCAAAAACACTGCCAGTGCACTCCGGTGGAATCAGTAGACATAATTCAATATGGCTGCAGTTAGTGCCTACTTCTAAGCACGAAGATCTACGAAATTAACAGACACCTGGAGCAATGAGGCTATACTTCTGTCGTTTCGCACTGGTTTGACTACACGCAGCTCGGCGCGGATGCCAGGCAGGAAGAGGATTGCTCCCATTCACATGGGCCCATCGGCATTGTTACAGCCCAACAGCTGTTGTAGTGAGTTTACGCAAACTCACAAACGCAAACCCTCTTACGCATACCAGAAAATGGCTAAGCCAAGCGTGACATGATGCCTGACTTACGTTGCTTTCATCCGGTCGAAAAAAGTTTTGAACCAGTCAAGAAGTCATCGTCTTGGGAATACACCTGTCGTTGTCCGAATTCTTCGAAATATGCTACTGTTTAGACCGGTTCCACCCTTCTTGGAGGTCACCGGGTAGGCACAGTCCCCGAGTTTCTGTCAAATTAATGTTATTGTTGAACCCAAATTTCCACAAATATACTCATTTGAACATTCAGTTGAAGAAAATACAGGTTCGTTTAAGTCTCCAGTGAAAACCAACTTGATATGCAACTATCCAAATTACTGAAGTACATTCATTCGCACACAAATTTGTTCTTCGCGGGAGACTTACCCGGAACCCAGCTGGGATCTTTCGTTTGTGATGTTTCCAGGCAACTGAATGTGCTGTACCAGGCCACCTCATGTTTCAGTTGCAAATTTGTTTGCAAAGGAGTGTATTTCGCTAATGCTAGTGTTTTATCGGCGTGTATTTATTTATTTTTGCAACCCAGTGACAAAGTTTGCCCAGGAAAGTGAAATATTGAGACTGTATCATCGTACTCCACAACTCTGTTTTGGTAAACAGACTTTTTATTACATCCACGATCGGTTTCAATCCAGATCTTATAAAACCTTCGACGTATCAACACCATACACACTGACTTAAACCGGGCTTGGTATGGCGGCTCGTAACCCTGGAAAACATGCCTTATGAATAGTAAAAAATAATTGCAGCTCAAACATGTGTTCCATTAACACTCGTCTTTTCAGAACTGAACTCTAAACCCTGGTAGCACTGCACATGCATCCGGCGTGCGACTGCGCAGCAGAAAAAACACAGACAAAGTGGCGGAGTTTTCCACTTCGTATTACGTCGAGCAAAGTGCATATTCATGCAGAACAGTGAGATGATGATAATTTCACATGGGCTTTACAGTAAGTTGATCCACATGCCAGCAATCATCATGTACTTGCTAGAAACAAATATGGAACCAGTTGCACCGGACTACGAAAGCTGACCACCGATAATCAGGGCATTATTATTTCTACTGGTATAGTTTTCTATTGGTAATACTAGAATGAACTTGGTAGGAAGATTTTGCACATTTTATGAATTCCTTTGATTCAACTTTACAACTATTACTGTCAGTAGTAATACCCAAGTAATCATGCATCCTGATACTTCAACATAGCAGGTGGATTAAAGATGTAGCAACTACGCTTCCTCTAGGCAGAATCGCAAAGTGGGCTGAAGTTTTGACAATCCCTGAATAAAACTACCAGGGAGTTGGTTGCTAGAAGATATGACAGAGTGCAGTTCCAGATTGAACAGATTAGGGAGAAGCCCACTTTGGAGTTGAATGTAACGGGATCAGAAGAGACTTGGAAAGGTTCATGCACCTCGGGTGTCCAGACTATCGGATGAAACGTAAAACCTTAACATATTGCCAGCAAGAGCAGTGAGTAGGTTGTGTGTTGACATAAACGACTAGGCCACGAAGAATGGTGGTAGTTTAATAAAAAATGTAACAATTTATCAGGACACACTGTTGATTGGTTCAAAAAATATAACATTTGTTGTGCTTCTGCTCTTCTGTTAACTCTTCTCGTGATTGTTTAGATACAGAAATGTGACCACATCCGACTTACGGGCTTCATTTTCCGAATTTTATGCCAGTATCGACACCTCAACTCCAACTAATATGAATTTAATAATCAAGGGTAAAACAATGATCAGGAAACACACTCGTTTGCAAATCAATTTGGTTTTCACGAGAGACTCAACTGAATCTCTCGTTTATGATATTCTACAACTGAAAGTGCTGCACACAGGCCGCCTTATGCTTCAGTTGGCATGATATTCGAGATATAGCAGTATATTTTCATAAGGAGAACTACTCACAAGGTTGCTGAAAACTCTTCGACAGCCCACGACCGGTTTCGCCCTTCTTGGGGCTCATCAGGTAGGCACAGTCCCCCAGTTTACGTCAATCTTGTGATCTACTTTAACCCAAATCGAACTGATTGAAACAAGTTAACACCATAAACGAGAGATTCACTTGAGTCTCATGCAAACCGAATTGATTTGCAAATGAGTGTATTTCTCGAAAACAGTTCAATTCGGGTTCAAGTAGAACATAAGTTTGACGGAACCTCGAGGACTGCACCTACCTGATGAGCCCCAAGAAGGGCTAAACTGATCGTGGGCTGTCGAAGAGTCTCCAGCAACCTCTTGAGCAGTTTCCTGTATGAGAATGATCAGGAAACCTACAGAGAGTCCCGTTTTTCCTTGAGAATCTGATATCTCGTCCTAAGGCTGCACTGGGCATTCTGACCCGAAACCTTAAGTGAAAAACAGTAGATGGAAAACTCCTGATGGCTGATTTGTGAGAAGTCCGCTAAACTCAACCATTTTCTAACCATTCTGCCGTGGAAAATTCTGAAAACTCGATGAAGTTTCACCGTAAATTCGAATTCTTTACACACTCTGGAACTGAAATTCAATTACACAGACACAACATGTCGTTAGTACACTGGTTGGGTACTGGCGCCTCATATAAGACATAAAGTTCAGACCCGAAAATGAAAAAAATGTCCGAGTTCGTTCATCGAAAACCAGTCGTTAGTAATATAAATCAAAATGAAACATGGAGAAGCCGAAAACTTTGCCATGTTTGTTTTGATTGCCTAGCAATAGCGTATGATTGGAGTGATTCCACTGAAATCACGACCGCTGCAAAGAAGGCCTGTTCTCCAACCCAAGTTACGCAGCTGTATCGTACCCTCGATCACTTTTCTACAGTCGTGTGAAGTGACTTGTCGAAACACATTACTCCGCTGGTTTGTCACTATCTATCCTTCTTGTCACGACCTATCGCATATTTCGTAACCAGTTACATTACGTCTAACGCAGTTGCCCTAAAGGAAGTCGATTTAAGTGGCGTCACAGTTGTATTCTGCTCTCTGCTTGAGGCTTTTTACATGTACCACTGTTCGTCAAAAACCTGAGCGCACGACCTGCCGCCATGGTGCTCCCACCATGATGGGTCAAAATTTTGTCACGTTAACTCCGACTTAACAGCACGAAATCAATAGTATGCAGGTTACATTGCAAAAGAACATAAGACAGATGCATAATAAGCTGATTTAACGAATGCATAGTGATCAACTTGAGAAACAAAGCATTCAAGCCAGACTAAAAACTTGAACATATGCGACAGAGTGCAGAACAACGTTCAGTGTCAGGTTGACAGTGGTTCAGAGCTGTGAGAGGAGCAGGTGAGAGTGAACATTTTGGAACGACTCTGTAAACGAGCAAATAAACGAACGCACAAGTAAACAGCGGTGTAAGAGTTCGGCCATTAAACTCAAACACTGGTCAATTTAATCTTTACTAAAATCGCATGGGGATGAGAGTTGACGTGCTGTGTGTGCTACGCGTATGTCAAGCAGGCCAATCAATGGACGGATAGTCACAGAGATGCTTGTTTCTTTTCTGGCTATGTCTAGCTGGAATGAAACAAGAGTCAGGCGAACCCAAAGGGTCCCACATGCAAGGGCAACACCGCAAACGTGCGTACACGAGAAAGATCAAGTAGATAATTACCTAGAAAGATTGTGCAACACCGATAACCTTTACATCAGCATAAGGTGGGTGTTCAGCATGACCCACATGTAACAGTGTGTTACCCATCAATCCTCTGAAACCTTCGGGAATAGGACTGATGCGAGAATAGTTGTCCCGACAGGGATGTTAGTGATGCAAAGTAGGAGACAAACGAGCTGGGCAATTCGTGCATGCAGTCAACAAACAGGACAAACACAATTAAATCACTGGATCTCAAACGGGCTGTCAACGTCTGTTGCTGTAGCAACCCGATTAGGATTGTGTCTACTCACGGCAGCGGAATGAAAGCTTGTGAGTAAGGAGAAGAAAGGGACTAAGTTTTTGAGACGAAAACTGCCATTAGCTGCAAGGTTCCTGCGAGAAAGTGATGAAAACAACAAGCCGTGATCAGTTTTGGAAAGCGAGAGCTGGAAAGACAAACTAGTGAGATAACCTAGTGAGCCAAATGGAATGTGAATACATCTCTTAGAATGGGTGGACTGGAAACCCACGTTGGCGATGAAAATGTTGACCACATTGAAGACAACTGAGGATAACTTCTTTGCACACATTATGTATGATTATCCACTTTTCACCAAAAAATTCCAATCTGTGTGTTTTCATGAAAGAAACCGAGCGCCAAAATTGGCTATTACGAACCTTGGAATTTAACTATGAACATCCGTATACCATTGGAGTCAAATCGTCCGAAATTCTTATAACCTATGTACCCTGCACCACCTCCGAATGCTTTTTTTATAGGAAACTATAAATTATATCAGTTCAGCGAAGAATACGCTTCCAGATTTGGTAATTTTGTTCAGTTTATATGTACTTGGACTCAAATATACAGACCAGTACTGCCAACAATAAACTGATGAAGAATAGCATCGGTCTGTACCATCCGATCTCACCAAAAGAAATAGTTTAGAACTGAAGACAACTTGGAATACCAGGTGTTTAAGGTTATCAACGTCAACAGTCCTGTTGCCCAATTCATATGACGAATTGGACTGGATATACCATACTTTATCAATGCAATATGAACAACAATAAACCATTGTTACAGACGACTCTCTAGGCTGCATTCGGAATGCGTTCTTTTTATGTCCTGGCAGCGTTTTGGGAAACTGTACAATCAATTATTTGTAACCGCGCTTAAGGTTCTTCGTGAGAGAGTAGACTTGAACGTGTTCGCTTCCCTCTCAACTCGTCAGCTGCGTACGGGTAGCGGGGTTCTTTGTCTGGTATTTACATTGGTGACACTCATTCGATAGCCTCGTACAGCTTGGCTCACTAATTGAAACCAGTAAGGAAGTCGAGAGGCATTGACTAGAAAGTTATCGGTTCGAAATCAAAGCTAACTTTCTAATTACACCTTTCTAAGCCCGACAAAATTAGGAACCAAGTTTATTTGCGACGTGAAATTCTGTTACTACTTACAAAAATAAATTGTCCGCTCAGAACGAAAAATCCCACATTTCATATAGAGCAGTATCTGAGATGCCATCAATAGAGAAACCTGACATCACGTAATGTGAACTGAAAAATTAAGGGTCAAATGGGGTCATAAACACTAGCAACGAAGTACCCTCTACCAATCAAACGGTCGTGGCCGAATGTTAATGTTGATCTGCTTGTCCCAAAGTTTTGATATTGAACCTCTGTTTCGATTTCCAAGGTGCGCATTACATGTCAATCCTAACAGGAATAAAGAAGATTTACAGGGCTTCTTGACTTTAGCTTATATTTAGTTCACTTATTGAGTGAATTCTGTATATGAAATAGCCAAATCTCAGTATACACATGATTCGTGTTTTCGTGGGCCGTAGCCATGTGTCAAAAGATACCGGCACTAAATTACACTTATTTGAAAAGTCTTACCTGACAGATGCAGCTTGGAATACATCCATGCCACTTGACCTCTTTATCTGCTGAGACCTCTGTTTGTGAAAACCAAATTGTTGCAATGGATTTGTCAACACTAAGCATCGGACAACACCCTCACGCGTGTGTCATTTTTTCCGAATCCATTTACTGACTTTCTTAGTGTTAGCCCGGTACATTTTAGTGTCTGTAGCATATGTGCCGAAGGCTAGAACTATGGGCTTGAAATGGTTGCAAGGACGAAGATGAAAAAAAGTCCGCGAAACACGAAACCGGGTCCTTGTTGTTTTGGTCGCTTATCACCAGAGCCAGCAGTTTATCTCACTAATTCTGACCATTCTCAAGTGAAGCTATTCAGTCAGGCTTTCTCTTTACTTGCTGTCGGACGACACTGTCATGAGTACGGCGGATCTGCCACTGCAGCCCAACGAACCTCACACTCAGTGATGTTCGTAGTTTCTTTAGCCAGCAAACACAATGGATGGCTGTTCAGAAGACATTGTACCAGTAGATAAGGCGAACCGAATTCTTAACGAGATAGAAGTAAATTTTCTAACTGTATCAGTCTTATCTTCGATACAAAAAAGGTTAAAGTGCCTAAGCTGTTATTTTATCTTGCCTATGTGGGACACCTCATTGATAACACAAGTCTGAAGAAACGATTCCTTTCGAGCGAGATGAAGATTGTACCTCACGAAAGAGAACGAAGTCTTGATTTCAAACCTGATTTATATCTATGAAAAAATTACATCCAAGTACAAATTTCATACAGCGTCGGTCGGAATCAGGTAAAACGATTAGCTGACGTCGTGATTAGTATTCGAAACAAGTTGAGCAGTTTATGGTCCTTATCGAGAAATTGAACTGGAGGCTTACCGCAGACAAATAACCAATGCATTAGACCCCCAAATGACAACTTGTCTTGACGTATGAGGTATGGCGGGAAATTAGCCTTAAGAACCTGCATGAAATATGATGTTCAGTGGGAGCCCATCTAATGCCAGCAAACTCATATGATAAAGCAGTGTCTAAATTTTGTTCAGATCGTTTCTCGTGCACATAACATCACATTATCTCGCTTAGGTCATGCTTCTATAAGCTTCTTTATAAGATGAACGGATTGCTACGTAAGATTGGAGAGTTCTGACGAGCTGTACAGCCACCAAGTTTGTTCAACTAATATACAAGCAAGATTTGTTTTGGAAAACATCCTTGTGTCACATTCGGCTGTTGAGCGATGCTCTGTACAACCTTCGGTTCATTCATATTTAGGAGCAAAATGTTGTCAAATATGTCAACATAAACCGGCTTTTTTCTTACGAAATTCTCAAATGAAGAAGAGAGAAACAGTGGTTCAGGTGACTTACCTCAATCTTTCTCCCCATGACGACACGCCCATTCAAATTTTCCCGCGCCCGTTCGGCGTCCTCCGCGTTCGCGAATGTCACAAAGCCAAAACCCTGATTGAGGGAAAGAAAAAAAAACAGGCAATATAGACGAACAATCCGCTGCGCCTCTTCCAACTAACTGAGCTTTTTTGGAATTACCCAAACGCAAAGAAAGATTTTCGATCACGGTTCAGCTTTGCAGTCAAGCGTGGAAAAACATGTGACCTGTTGCAGCTAGCTATCCAACGGTGACTTGCTTGGTCGCTATAGCCAGGTAGGGGCTTGTCAATGTTTAGTTGTGTTAGATCACTCGACGTACAGGAACACTTCCGTGAAAATGCTGGCATCGAGCAGTACATTAAGTGTTTTAGCTGGGTTGCTGGGAAGTTGCTCATCCCATGAGAATCAGGAAGGTACATGCCTTGGCAACTTTGAACAGTTATGAAACCACCTGGTCATGCTGTCAGAGATATGAAAGCCTTCCTCTAGTTTGGGTGGTGCAAATGTGTGCAGGCCCGGGTGACCGAGTGGGTTTCCATTCTTTCGAACAGCACATGATCGATTTCAAATTAGTTACTAGCCTCGGTTCAAATGTCGTTTAAAATACAAAGAAACAGGAACCCTAAACCTGGACCCTTTCGACTGTGCTAAAACACAATTTGGTCTTGAGGACTGAGACAAAGGGGAACATCTTGAACAGTCCCAGCCACGTCAGCAGGATTTAGCAACAACAAGCACTAATCATATATATATATATATATCTATATTACAGTATTCGAAGTTATAGTATATATTATATATATATTTGTGCGTAGTTAGCTCGATATTTTCTCTCCATCTGTATCTGGTTTCATCTCTGTCTATGACCAGAAAGTGTATGAATATAATCTAAAGGACGAAATTAAAACACCGGAACCAAAACCCCCCTTTTACGTTTGGTACATACTGAGAGGCCGAACAGTGTACATCTGCCAAGGCCCAGGTTTTTCAATATGACTCTCAGAAACCCATCATCATTTGGTTAGGTTACCGCATATATCACCAGAGGGGACTTCTTTATCGCTAACTCTCCTTCAAGCTAGCTCGAATGACTGGAGAAATAGTACAGGGATGATTGCAGTACCTGAACGACCACATGATACATACTCTTTCAGAATAAGCGCGCAACACATTCTAGAATGGGTGGGTGAACTATGCTGTCACTCAAAACCAGTTAAAAACAGTGAGTAGATAGACAACGAAGTAATTTTACAAAGGATTACTCACGGACCATGTTGCTACATTGGAAAACAGCAACTCTAGTTAACCTACGAACATCTAGACACAGGCAAAATACTAATGGTAGTCCTCGGATAGGAAAACAAAGGTGATTTTGCCAAATATATACTGTGGCTTGCGTCAGCCGGTAAAAATACAAGGTGACATCCAATCCCCCCAACCATTGAATAGCCAAGCCCTCATCTATGAGGTCAGAATAACGAGCAGATCACTCCATTTGAATAAAGACCTCTTATTACACGGACTACTGGATCCAGACCTCGTGAGCAGTCCTGATTCGGGGAGAGAGGGCACTGTACACTGACTGGCTCTCACAGAACTAGTAGCAATCGCTACGACATAGGAGGAAAACTAAGCCATCGCGATTTCCATTTCCAGCTTGATGGAACTTAATACGCACTTACGAACTCCTTACTACACGCTGTACAGTTGTCAAACATGCTCTCTGGATCTAATCGATTGTGCCGTTATGTTGCGGGAAGAAGTCCAGATAAGACGAATATTCGCGATCGCATCCTGCAGTCAGCCGGGACTACGAATGATCTACTCACAAAGCAAGTTGAGCTTGTGGGAATTCCCAAGATAGTTTTCCATTTATTCCTGATAGATATGATGTGTATGATGGGAGAAGGGTGCTCAAACTACGGTCATTCCACAAGAACATTGTTCCTTCCTGAAGTGGAAAAAATTCACATGGAAAAGATATGTATTTTGATCCACGTCACTGCTGGCATGGGCATCACACAGCCCCAAATCTTCGACTAGTTATACAGGTTACATTTGGTGTGAATTTTCACGTAGTTAAAGCTAATCAGCTTGTTTTTTTTATACTGAGTAATCTGAACCAACAAAGTCGGATTGGCTTGACATATATTTCAACCAATCACTTCCTTACTAAACTCATTTAGGATTAAGATCAATCCAGGCTAAAGGTCTGTTTTAATCCCGTGCACATTTCGATGTGTAGGTTCTTGTAAGACAGCCCAACTTTATTCAACACTGTTTTCGACCTTCGATCCCGTAAACGTAAATGACCCCAACCGTGAATGTTTTTTAAAAGTTGTAATAAAGTAGATGAAAGCCTTAGTTTCAAAAGAAAATTGCTGTTGCGGGAGCAGAAGACGTGTAGGAACCTAGTACGTTCTAAGGATGATAATTCCAATAGCGGATAAAGTAAACTTGACGATAGGTTTGGAATCCAACGTATTTTTGAGTGGATCATTCTGAATTATCGATTTTAGTAGATTACTTGTCAGCAGTGTCTTTCTAACTGCAAAGACGACACTTCACACCATGCACGTGACCTGCAACTTTATGCTTTCATTTGATGAAATTAAATATTCGCAATGCAATCATTTGGATAAATCTTATGATGGAATAACTGACCATTCGTTTCCTATCAATAAACGAAGTGTAGGAAAAATTCAACGCAGAAAACTGGCCAAAACAACCCGAAGCAAGAAAAATTGATAAAAATTAGATATGACATGCCAAACTCAGATTATATGCATGCTCTCAGCTTGATTAATTCTGATATTCATCGCCAGTTATTCACAATTGCGACCAATGAATACTACAGTTTTTGGGGAAATGGAATATAGCTTTGGGTACTAGTGTCACCAACGATTAATTAGGACAGGCTTCGCGTTGCACGAGGCTTCGGAATAAATATGGACGACCAACTGAATGCCACACGTCCTGGTAACAAAAAAGTCATTAGGATGCTACTGATAACTGCTGTCGTGGCGATGTAGACTGGTTTTTTGACAGCTGAGTGTATGTCTGGATAAGTGGTGTGCCATTCGCTAGGGTAGCAGTTGTACATGACCCACATATCTCCAGTGAACGCTGATGCGTGTCTACAGAACGTAGTCTCCCCAGAGATTAGCGACTGATTTTTCAACCTTAATGTAAGATCCTGATGAGGCTTGAATACGACGATGCGCAACTCACGCTAATTTGTGTTAACTAGCAACGTGATGCTTAAACCTTAGGGTGAAACCCATGCTAACGAAAACGTCGGGCTAAATTGTATAGCTAATCGTGATCAAACCAGCCCTAACTACAGGTGAGACAAGCAGGTCGAATACACGGTAGTGCCCCAAGAGTGAATAACCCAAGACTATAGAAGTGATAGTCGCTTAAGTTCTTCTGTCTGTTCGGTTCACCCACAATTATCACGGTCTTCATAGCGTAAACGAGTGCCTGAAAGTAACGGAGAGATAATGATAACTAAGAAAAACTCTAAAAATTATTGTTCCAGGACCCGCCCTACCACATTTTCATTCAGCATTAAGCCCTAAACACTTTACAGACCTTCAAAACCCCTACGAAATGCTTGCCTTTTCAACCAACTTGTACAGAAGTCTGCATAAAATTCAATTCTAAAGCTCAGCCAATTTCCTGATTAAAACAGCCACAACGCCTCGAGGTGCTTTGAGACCTGAGTGACTATTTTTTGATCTACTCATAAGTAGACAGAGATTTAAAGTTTATTCCACACAATACTAAGCCTAGTGTGAGCTTGAAGCAACGGCAGGATCCATATGAAGGGAATGTCCCATTTGGCAATGTGGATACCCGGCTGCATACAAGCTACGCATATGTAACAAGGATCACTTGTAGAAAGTGGCGCGGTGCAAAATAAGTCTACAGTTTGCATCCGAATGCATATGATGTGGAATATTCTTTAGTCAGTCAGGATGCTGTCGATTCTCAATCGACGGATAAGGCCTTAATCAATACTCACTTTAACTTCAGATACACAAACAGTAATGCTTGAGTGGAGCTGTGTTACCGCAAAAATCTTTCAGCAATCGGTGGTGGTATGACGTAGACATGAACTGTCATTATTCTGGTGAGTTTGTTGTGGAAAGTGGAAAAGACCGGTCAATTAAGGACTAGTAAATGTGCTGATTTATGTCAAGACGGACGTATGAGTCTCAAAATAAACAAAACAACAAATTTCCCTAGATTTCTTGAACTTTCATGCGACAGCTTCGGCTGGTTAGCTATTGAAGTAACAAGGGATAAGTTAGGTCAGTTATGTAACTGCAGAACAATTAGTTGAGTACAGAGGAATCAGAGGCACATACTGCGTTCAATTGACAAAGTTGTAGAACTGAGTTTTTGGAAAAGCTATGTTATTATTGGACACAGAATTCATGATAAGTATATGCGCGAGTATAAAAAGTGCTTTCAGATAGCATCGACCGGCTTTTTGTAAAGGTACTAGGATTCGCCGAAAAATTCAGAGGAGCCGCCCATTGATTACTTTGAGGGGAAAATAAATATATGGTGCTTATTTTTAATTTGAATATTAGAACATTTCTACAAAGAATGACCAGCGGCAAAATCCGGAATAGGCTTTCCTCGTTTCAGTTTGAGGCGTACGAGGCATGTAACGGTCATCTACATGAAGTAAATTAAGTTTATAGTACATGAAAAATATTATGTATACGAATGACGTTACTGAGGTCGCTGGTTTTCCCTGACTTCTTACGTTGAGGCTCAGTTTCAATAGCTATCACCCAGGTAGTTCCTCACTAAATTGGATATTATTCTTGGTTTGGCGTTCACGGAATCCTTAATACATCATTCATGTACTGACAAGGTAGGACAATCTGCAGAGTCCACTCAGTCGGTCATCTGGATGTTGGCTGCATACAGTGCCCATGGATTAGACAACCGGTATTCCAAGGTGAAGACGGTACTTTCTGATGTGAACAAAATATCAGGTCATTTGCATTCTGTGCGGGATGACGCGAAATGCATTCATCATGGTGAATTATGAAGTTTATGTATAACCAGCGGCTGAAATCTTACAAGGGTTGCCGAATAAGAAGGCTACTCCTGGTCGATTCTTGTGGATGAGATTTGCCAGAGGCTAGATTCGACAGGATAACGCGTATACTGAGCATAAAAAGGTTGGAATCGTCTAACCAGTGTTCCGGGGACCTGGTGGTTTATGGCGCGTGGAGACTAGGAGGATCCCCTGGCTGACAAGTCTACACATCAATTTTCAACGGTCACGTAAGTAAAACTCACCTATTACGGGGTGGCGAATTCAAGAAATTGGCGTTCATTGATCAGAAAAGTTGGTCTGAGTGGTCTACGTTACTTGGTTTACTATTGGCACCAACGAAATAAACAGGAGAAAAGTTGCAATAGCTGAAGTCGAATATTCCGTGATTCCGAATGCCACTCCTTTAGGAGGTAAGCATAGTTCTTGTGATGATAAATGGAAAAATCACGGTAGATTTATACACCAGAAAAGGCAGTGATCCCGCTACTCTAACTCTGATCAACAAGCTGGAGAATTGGTTTTTCAACACGTGCATTCTTCGGTCCGTTCTTTATACTTAGCGGTACTACTGTCATCATCCCAGAATATTCAATTGCCTGTTTGCCACATGATTGCCAAGTTGTCTAGAACTTCCTGAACTTTGAAAAAGTCCAGCGCGTAACTCAGAAGTGCACAAACAGTCCAAAGGTTCTCGTGAACAGATGGTAACCGTAAGTCTCTGCAGCAATCTGAAGGCGGGAACTCTTCAGAATGTGGTAAAATTTTGCAAAGCCATTCCATTTTATTGGCGACATTATATAATCGGGAATAATACGAGTCAAGGCCAGTGGAGACATTTCTGAAGGTATGCGCGTTTGCATGGTGGTTACTGAGAGATCTTTCTACGTCTACCAGAATATCATGCCTCTAAATATTATTTATCGTTGGGCGTTTACAGATGGCAGAATGTGATTACTTCAAACGAGAAACGAGTTCTTTTTGGCGCGTTCCAGACAGAATGCATGTTTGTTTCCACCTTTGAGAAGTTGACGTGGACCATTTGTTGATCCATTGACCAGATGGGGCCGGAAATCTAATTCCCCTTATTTGTGTTGTAGGTGGGCCGGCGGAACAAAGCGCATAGCAGGTTTGAGATGTTCTCTGCCTCGATAGGCCACACGGATTACGGTTCTATTACAAGAGGTATACAGTTTGCCTAACCTGCATCAAAGAGGTGCAGCACGGAGGCCTTGACGAGAATTCAGATTATTTCCTCACATTGGTTAATGATTAGTACAGATGACTAGGTTTATGTAAGCTGTTATCAAGGGTATTTGGTGAATGTCACAGCTTGGCGAAAGAGCCTGTCTATATACGGAGACAAGTCTGTAAAATAGATGGGTAAAATCTCCGACCAAATGAGTTGCTCACCCTGCTTGTCAACGGAGCTCACTCGGTCTTCGGTTATCTGTGCGAAATAGCATCTACTCTGATCAAACAGAAAATGAAGGGGCATTTACGGGATTGTCGACGGCTTCCTCTCACTGATTGACTAATTGACCGCTTGAGGTGATTATCTTATCGATGAGTCATTTTTGTCTAGCCAGAAGACGTTACATGTGAATAGTCTACGTTTTCACTTTAGTCTGTATTATCACCAGGCATTGCGCATGGCGCGCTGCTAAACAGAGTCCACGAATTATCTTTAGCATTCTCCTTGGCGATAATTAGGCAAGCAGCAAAGCGGGAACAGCTATCAAGTGTTTTCTATAGAAATGGACCGATGAACGTGTCGTTTCGTGTTAGTGAGTTTGGAAATGGTATCTACTGCTGACGTAACCGGGCAAACTATGAATACAGATGAGGGGTAGACGCCTTGATTGACTCAGTTACTTGCAGTCGAATAAAAGACAGATGGATAATTTTCGGACGACACTTCTGAAACAATGTTTAGATCTGAGCAAGAATAACATAAAATCACTCACCTTGGAACCACGTTCATTGAAAATGATCTCCACATCCAATATGGTCCCGTATGGCTAAAAAAACAGACGTAGAAACCCTGTTACAATTGGTAAAAAACTGTTTTTTAACTTGATAATGTCTTTTTCGATTGCGTCAATTAATAATGCCTGAAAAAGCAGAACGTAATCATCTAAGGGAGAGCTTCGGCCAGAGTTACGCGTTTTTAAACTTTGTCCCTTCTAGTAGTTTCCTCGCAGAACTTAAAATGAGTGATTTGGGGAAGGATGACTTGTTGAAATCTTAATGTGGCTAGACCTTTGGGTAATAGGATGAAATAGCGGGCCACATGCTCCGCAATCTGTAACCGCTGTTGTTAACCAGGTGCAGTGAGGAACATCCAGTTTGATTCCTTTTGATAACCTTTGGCGGATAGTCACGAGGAATTATCTCGCCAGTATGTTACAGTGTTCTTGCTCTGAATCAGTGGCTCTCATTCTCCCTAAAGTATGTTCCACTTTTCACAATATTACAAAAGTTTAGACGTAGTGCACTACTGATAAGGTTGCTGAAAACCTCTCGACAGCAACCTTTTGAGTAGCGTATTACGTGAATACATGTATCACGATATGACAAATATCGTACCAACTGAAACCTAAGGCAGCGTGATGCAGCACACAGTTGCTTAGAAACATCATAAGCGAGAGATTCAGTTGGGTTCCAGGTGAGTCTCCCATATTGGTGTACAAATGAGTGTACTTGGCTAATGACATAAGTCTACTTCACTTCATTTTTGCTGATGTGAAACAAACTATTCTGAGTAATACGGGAATCATAAGGGCCAGTGAACCAAACAGTTTGCTCAATCCGTTTATTCCTAACGAGGAATGCAGGGCAATATTTGAAAGGTCACAGTGTTTACGATTTTAGCCTATTTTCTGATTAATTTTCCCTGATAGATTGTTTTTCGCCTCAGTTGTACGAGTACATCGGCACAAGTCTCCACAACTGGATCAAAATTCCAACTTTCGCTATTTACAAACAGGAAATGAAGCATGATGGGAATGACATGGCAGACAGGATAACTGTACCAACAGGGTGGAGCGTAGCGAACGACGACGGTTACGCTGAAACCGAAATACGGTTGCGTACGCTGTCGACGACAAGTGCAGTTTTCCCCAAGAGCAATACAAGAAGCGATGCACAATCCTCCAAACTGTTTTCACTCCAATGGCAATATCTCGATCAATAAGCATACAAATCAGGACAAATATCAAATTACACTCACTGTTTCCCCCATGAAAAGCCAATAAAATGCATCAGGATTACTATAAAAGCACAGAATGTGAACCACGGATAGACTGAACAAGAGAACCTTGATTACATTGAACTTAGCTAGAATAAAGTGGGTCCCCTGAAGGCGGACTGGCCTACCTACCAACTCCGAGATTAACAAATTGACACAGTCAGGCATGATGGACCTTCCGACAAACAGAACAAGCAACCCATCGGTCTCTCTGTCTTCACTTAACTTCACCTTAGGCTTTAAATATTACATTTTCATCGTTTATTGCACCCGACTCGTTGCTAACTCGGCAGGTCTTCTTATCTTACAACTTTACTGTATTTTGTTGGCTGATCTTGGAGCGAGAGTGCAGAAAGAATCGTTTGAACTTCTCCAAAGCTTTTCGAGCTGTAGCTATATTAGGTCGCATAAGTATTTAGGCCTGTTTGCCGTTCAGTTACGCAACCACGAGACCATGGAGATACTGTTGCTGCATTCACACAACAAGTGAAACATGAGTTGGCCTGGTGCAACACATTCAGTTGATCGAAACGTCATAAACGAGAGATTCAGTTGCGTTCCATGTGAGTCTCCCGCAAAGCCAACTTGGTTTGTGCGGTTCACTAATCACGTGCAATTTGGGTTCAAGTAGAACATGATTTCGATAAAAATCCGGGGACTGCGCCTACCTGATGAACCCGAAGAAGAGCGAAGCTGATCTTGGCTTCAAAGAATTTCAGCAACCTCACGGGTACCGTCTTACGTCTGTAAATGCTGAAGTTAGTTTAAGATTGTAAATTGCTGTGAAAGTTGGATGAATCGGGCTAACAGCCGATAGTCAAGTTGGTCCTTCCCCCCCTCCCTCCCACAACTGAAATCCATTGCTTGGGAGAGTAATAATAGCCAACTTCTGGTGACGTGGAATGGTGCTATAAATCACCGTTACATTGGGCGTTCGCGTAGACGATCTTAGTGACCATACGGATATCAGTCATAGGTTCCACTGTGACTGAACGGTACTACTCTATAGCAGGATAGAACTAATTGAAGCAAGGGTTAAATTACACATTTGTAGTTTACCACGTGCACAAATTTGCAATGGTTTGCCAGACCTACCCCAAGTAAAGAACGCAAATCAGCTTCACGGAATCGGAATGGTATGTTAGAAACGTGCAGACGCCTCGGACTGGTCGTTGGACTGGTTGATGCCGGCTTGTCGTGTTGCATCATATGCTTTGCCGTAGTACTAACCGGATGGCTAGTCATGACAGTGTTAGCAGTAAGGAACGGACTGGGGTTGATCAAACCTCCATCGACCGTGGAGGTGGCAGTTACAGACGGGGAGGTTTCAGTAGATTTCTGAGATGACTGGTTGTGGTCGGATGTGAGGTCCGTGCTCGACCAGTTAACCTGACCAGCAGTCCCATTCGGTGCCTGGAAATAAAGAAGTAAAACAGACTGTTATGCGATCCAACTTCCGCAAAAAACTTCCCTTTCTGTTATTCATACTTGTTCCTTAATAAGAACTATCGCTCTGATTTCTTTTGTGAGTTGTGATATGGTCGTAGCCAAATTATTTCAAGCTTTCATTTTAGATGGATGTACAGTTATGCATCCGAAACAAACAACTGTGACAGTGATCGGATTCATCTACTTGGTACTCAGTTGTTTGTGTCCGCGTATGCAAGGAAGAAATTCGATAACCTTAAACTCTGTCGGAGACAATGCTTAAGCAAAAAGGCTGTTAGGCCTGAAACAAGGTTCATAGAAAGGGAAGGATTTGAATTGCTATGGAAATCTTAAAACTAACCTTAAAATAACTCCGATCATCTTGAATGAGCTGGTTGTTGAGAATACATACGATGATTCAGCGACCTACGAACTTCTGTCGTTTTGTACCGCTACACTCGTTCATCTTGCGCGTACTCTATTGCAAAAATGAAATCTTACCAGTAAGCGCTTCAGGCTCAATCACTGTCACAAATAAGTGGCTCTTACTGAGACATAAATGTCCGGTTCCTTCCATCCATTCCGGTGGGGAAGCGATGTTCTAGCGAGGGATATGGTTTCACATCAGTGAGATCTTCAAAGGATCTTCTCGCTGGAGTTATCTTTCTTTGAATACATCCATTTGCATACCAGTTTGCTTTTTAGGGGAGAAGCATCTGAATCCAAGCTGAATGCCTTATGTATGGTATTATTCTTTAAATGAATGTGCCGTAGAAAATATTTCTAGCAAAACCAATGACTAATCTCCTGCATGGAAATATACTGCAGTTGAATATCGTACCAACTGAAACGTGACACGGCATTTGTGAAGCAAATTCGGGTGAAGAATGAAATAAATGGGAGATTCAGCTGTGATTCGAATAAGCAATCCATGAGAACCAAAATGGTGTGCAAATGAGTACATTTGTCGAATTTTGTGTAAATTGGGTTCAACAAGAACAAAAAGCCGGTGGAAACTAGCAGACTATACCTACTTGATGAATCGGAAGATGGGTAGAACCCCTCATGGACCATCGAAGGACTTTCAGCAAAATTATCAGTAGTATCCTTCATAAAAATAACTTATCTTTAGTTCACAGACAGACAGCAGCTGATAAATTATTCCGATGATCGTGAAGTAGAGTGCCAAACCTTGGCTGAATCATTACATAGGCTGAAGATAACTTGCGCAGAGTTGAACTATTTTGAGAAACTAAACACCGACTGAACTCACGTTTGCACCGAGGACCATCACCTTCTTCGCATAGTTAGGGTCACCGTCCACCGCCTCACTGGTATCTGCAACACTCTGGCCAGCTGCACGCTTCAGGTGACATCCGGATAGGTTCCGAACAACTGTCACTGGACAACCGAAATAAATAAGTCAGATGGTTCCATATAAATCAAACAGTGAAGTGCTTGAAATAAGGACTTCCACATTCGGACAATATGATGAAGTCTAATTCTCGTTCCTCAGTTGATCAGGCTAGAAATCCAGTCAAGAGCAAAATTAAGGAGAGTAGGGTGTATATGACCCTTACCTTAGATGATTGGGCTGATCAGGTTATTATCCAGTACTTGAAGTTCTAGCCTTCAAGGAGAAGTCGGCCTAAGTTGAACTGTCTTAGCAGGTGGGATGACCTTCAATGCTTTTTCGGGAACAGTCAAAATTACTTATTATGCTTAAGGAAGTCGTTCACGCTTCTACTAGGGGACTGATAAATTAATGGGTACATTATCACAGATACATTTACACCAATGCGGATGCTTTCAGAAGGAGCATTTGCTCAGAAGAGTATCATTAGCCATTCTCGACATTTACCATGAAATGGTGGCAGAGTGGGTGCGGTACCATTTCAACAAACCAGGTTCGAAGCTCCATACATGCCTCAAAACTGAATGCTAGATCTCGTATTGAAAAGCTAAGACAGCTGCTGCGTTAAAAATGAAATTTTCATATAGCAACTTAACTGTTGGTACCTTCTAGCGAATAGAATTCACTTATAGATGAGAAAACTTCTGAGGGGTCACCAGTTAGGTGAGAAAAACATATCAATCGAAATTAACTGGCCAAAAAATCTTTTGCGTTTTAATTTTAGCATCCCTATCCTATGACGTGTGGAGTTCACACACGATCAACGTCCTTCCAGTTAGTGATGTGTAAATCTGTCGAAGCATGACCAAAAACACAGATATGGTGTCGTTTAGATGGGGTGTGGGTTTGGGTCCATGGACAACTGTTTCACCTATATGCGTTCATACTCAGAAAAACAACTTACCATCATCATCCACCATAATCGTAGACGGGATTTCTGCCACCACGCAATATCTGGGCCCGACTATGTGGTCTTCAGTCTCAAAATCGTTTAGTTCCGTTCGAACCAAGTTGTGAGGTTTGCACCTTGTTGTTTTTCGTTTCCCACCCGGTTGTCGGTTAAGTGTTTCGTCACGATCTCGCCAATGGTCAAAACAATTAGAAGTGATCGAATCTCTGTCTAGTTGTAGGCGGACAAGCCTCTGAAAGCAGGAGGGAAAAGTTGACAAATTGACCAGTTAGTCAAATAAACTAAACGGACCCAGTCGTGGTAAAAAATGAAGTCATTTTAAAAAGCCGTCGATGATGGATCGAGGATGATTGAAAGCACTGGTTTGATAAAAAAAACTGAACAATACCTGTAAAAGGAAGAAGGCCTTCGCTGCGGAGTTATTTATTGGAAAATGCCAACTGACCAGTTACAGACTTTCGGACAGGGAAGCAAAACTCTCATTTGCATCCTATTTACAAAAACTGGATATCCATCTTTTCCTGAACGCGTCTTCTTTAACGTTCCTGGATATTCATTGACTTCAATCACTCATTGCTCAAATCCAAACAAATGCTACAAAACGACTCCACAAATTCCGCAACAGATCTCCCTTTTCAAGAGACGCAAAGCGAATTAACAAGAGCAAAACATACCACTCGCATTCCTTCCCACCAATAGCATCACCGTTACACCTGTTTTTTTCGAAGTATTCCCAATACAGCCATATTCTGCTTTCTACTCTCAGCTTTGTCTGGACGTAATTGGCCACGAAAGTAACCTCACCCGTGAAATCAGGCTGACTAACGACGCATAATCGAAGACATATTGACGGACCCTAACTCCAACACTCGCGTAGCTGGTTTACCTTTTGGTCTACTTTTGTACGTAATAACCTACAGCAACGTGGCTGAGTCGACTGGCCAATGTAGTACACTCCGAATACCGGAAAGTTCTTAATAGAGTTTATGAACATGCAATCCACGAAGCGTTGCAACAAAATTTTTCCGCACTAAACTGCACCGTTGCCTTGTGAAAGAATGCAGTGAGTTTGATCAAGAGTATGAAAAGGGTAAAACATTTTGTGGTACACAGCTATACACGCAAAAGACCTATGGTGTCTTTGTCGAGATGGTGTCTACACACGAGGAAAATTTCTTTGTGATTTAAGCTAATTTAATGTTTCTCGGATCTCTACATGTTTCAGCAACGTTAGTTACCAACTGCCTGTAAAAACGGCCAAAATGAAGCGAAAAGGACCGTTATGCAGTTGTTTTAGAGAAATAGAGGAGTGGTAAATCCGACGCACATAACGGAGGTGACTACTGTGTGTCATCATCATTTTAACCGTTTCGACTGGTTGTGTGCAGGTAAGTGACACAAAAAAATGCAGTTGTTTACTCCGTTGTAGGATAACTAAAAGTATACAACAACTGTATTCAACTAAATCCATTGATGGAATAAATTTACTGTGACCCTGTCAAGATCATGGATCTTACTATGGCTGCTAAACAGCGAAATTGTGTATACTGCGTGTATATGTATAATAATTCTGGGAAAAGGTCATACAATCTGAGTTTTACTACCAATATGATGGAGAACGCCACATCTACGCTCCTTTTTATTGTTCATACTAAATTTAACAGTATAATAGTTTCATTTCCATTCTGCCTTGAAGAAATATCTCTTCTAGGAAACCAAAATGGCATTTCTGATACACCGGCAAACTCGAAAGTCGGATGTGAAGGCAGGTAAATAATATTCTTAATTTAGACCCAGACAGCAACAGTCAATAGGCAATGATATTTTTTTTGCATACTTTGAAACAAGTGTGATTAACTTGGAAAGCCTATTTCTACGGAGGTACACAACAGACATTTATTTTCATCTTCAAATCATTAGGAATTTAGCCTTAGTTTCCATGCTATGTAACGTCAAAAACATTGATTGTTCTTTAAGGAAATTCAGCCTCCCTTCCCTTGACGTTGGTCGAAAAACGAAATTGAACTTTTTCTGTTTATTCTGCAAAGTGGGAAGACACGACAGAAAAAAAACAGTTTCCAACATTTCATCAGACCGTCTCCGCCATAAGGAAGGGCATTTTTCAAACATAGAATTGAATACTGATGGATGGCCGAAAACTGACAATTCCTAGGGCAAACCATTTAGGTAGGACACGCAATGCATGTAGGTTACCATGGTAACCGAAGTACTTCTGTGCAGTTAGGGCGGCACTTGCATGTTGGCTGGGATTTTAAGCTATGAAAGTAATACATTAAGACTGCTCACAAGTTGTATATGTACCCATTCGAATGGCGACGAACCAAGCGATGCTACAGGTCAACAACGAGGGGAATAAACAGAACGGAACACATACAACCAGTGCATAAACATCCGGTCAATGCTTTCCACAATCTAGTCTGTATCGTCTAACTCTATACTGCAAACATTAATTATTTGTTCGATTAGATTTGATAAGATCGATGTGTCACTGGTATCACAATGCACATGACACAAAGCCACCTTATTCTGATGAATCAGGCCACGACCAACAAACTTGCATTCCAGATAGGGTCTTCTCCTCAATCAGTTGAAAACTCTCAGAACCGATTGAGGACTCATTGTTTTCGGAACGGTTTAGTAAACAGTCGGTAGATTAAGTGTTGGGCAACGTTTTGTTTCTGACACAAAAGCTTCGTCAAGCCACGTGACTAGGTTATGATGTTGGTCGAGAGTTAAGGCAGAAAGAGGACTAATTAGCTAGATCAGGCTAGATCGGTGTTAGGTGTCGGCTAAGGGAAGTTGGTTGTCAGGGGTCCAGGTATTCTGGTTCATTTCACGTGGAGATTCCTCTTGATAGTCGCTTGCAATTTTTGTCCGCCTGTGTAGATTAGCTAGTACAACGGTAGTTTTGTGAGGGACGCTCTAGGCTTTTCAAACAAACGTAGAACCATTAGCAAAAAAGGATGGGGAAATCCCGGCCAAGCCAGAGCTCAGCGACTCCCTCACCTGTACTCAATTATCGTACCGCTAGCTCAGCCTCATACAGATGAACAAAGGTTGGAAGCGACTTCCAAGAGGAATCTTCACGTGAAGCGAACCGGATGAACTAGACCATTAGTTGGACCCAAATCCACCTGAGTTCCTTATCAGTCTTAACACTTGCTGACCCACCCCACCAAAGCGCTTATCTGATACCCCACATCGATACAGCATGGATCAGCTGCTTGGTCCTCTTTCCGCCTTCAATCTCAACCAACATCATAACCTATTTACTTTACCTGTCGAAGCTTTGTATCAAAAGCTGGACGTCGCTCAACAATAAATCTTCCGAAAATTTTCCAAAAACAATTATTTTCTGTTGCTGTGGATGGAAATCAGGATACTTTCATTGCACTTTAATTTCTAACAAAAGCAGTTGAACGGTCCACACTCTTCCACAAGAATCATGTTTGTAGAGTAAATGGACCTTGCAATCGGGTGTTATGGGCAGAGCATAATGATTATTTACCTTATATAAAAAGAGGTTATGCATCAATTTGCTTGCCGAAATCTCTCAGTTCCCTCTGGTAAAACTTTCTGAATAAACTTACAAACAAGCAAAAATATTCTGCACAGGCAGTTCGAATCTTTACGAGTGTATAACAGGCCGCACACTGGTGCTCAATAGTTTCGTTCCAGGTTGTATTTGAATAAAATCAAAAAGGAATCCGATGACTCTTCAATGCGATGGGAGTCAGATATTTATTCTGCTGTTAGTGGGTGAAGAGTTCATCAGCTGGGGTCCCCCGAGCGATCGGTGGATCAACAGCTAATGACACAAGCTCATTAGAAAGATAAAGGTGACGCTTCTATACGACTGGCCTGACATTCCACCTAGCCAGATAACTAATAGAGAACCATTTTGATTCATCTAAACAGGAGGGTTTAAGCACAATTTAAAAATACTTTCAATGTTAGAAGCGGATTAACTTTAGGTGAGTTCCAGGTGATTCTCCCCTCAAAACCAACATATTATGCAGAAAAACACATGTTTGGCCACTTTTTTTAAAAAAGATACAAAGGATGTCAGTAATATGGAATACTAATGAGAGCTGATAATAAAAGTCCTTCTGCCGTAGCAGCCTTTTCCGGGCAGGCCGGCCAAAATCCTAGTTTTATACGAATACTGAATGGCTACTAATTCGCATAACTTTCGAGGAAATCCATTGCTTGTGTTTGCATTTCATATAACTCTCTCTCTCTTTCTCCTCTCTCTCTCTCTCTATATATATATATATATATATATATATCTGGTAGGGAGA